CATTTCAGTCAACAGTAGGCTATTAGTACTTAAGTTTTGGGGGAGTCAAAATTATAAGTGGATTTTCACCTTCACGGGGGGGTCAGCATCCCAGCCCCCAAAATTGTTCAAGGGTCAACTGTATATAATGATCCACTCTGGCATATAAAACTGTACTATGCAAAAAAACAAAAACCAAAACAAACTTTTTTGAGAAACAGATATTAACACTCCTAGTATATTTGGCCTTTGAATTCTGTTGTCAAAACACAATTTGTTCTGACACATAAGAAGGCAAGAGATTCAGAAGGTCTGTGTACCAGAACGTGAGCCTTGGAAAGTCTAAAACCTCCTCTTGTAATAACCTGAGGAGGTTATTACATAAGGTAAATAACAGCCTGCCTATTTCTTAAATAGAAATGACGGTCAAACCCTCATTTGTCCTTTGGAATTAAATAAAATAATGCATGTAAGAATATTGTGTAAATACAAGTCACTCTGTAAATATTAAAGTGAAGTTTCCACCAAATACCCATAACTATTAATGACTTTCTTCAAAATATGCCTCTTCCAAAGGGCTTAAAAAGAATTTCCACATTAAATCAAGCTGACCTGCTAAGGGCTGAAAAAAACAACCCTTAAGACTAGCAGCCTCATTTTCACAGATAATTAGTTCTAAGCTTCACCAAAAAGCAGGCCAAAAAAAAAATTCTTCTATTTGAACAATCATTTACTATATCAAAGATTGTTTACATCTGTGGCTTTGGTTACCTTGATCAAAGTTGTTGATTATTGTTTTTATCCATGGGCCCTTTCCTAGGTGCTTAACTCCTGGTCAGAACAGTGTTGCTGGTGGTAGGTTCTGTTCAGAGCCCAGCAGAGCAGCCTGGCTCAGCCAGACCCAGCCAGAAACATCATCTGTATATATTCGCCTTTCTGGTGATGCAAGAAAGAAAAATGTATTTCTTGGAAAATGTGTTTTGTAGAGTCACTTAAAATTCCACAAGGGAAAAAAAAGGAAATTTCTCTTAAAGATATACAGAAAATACCTAATTAATACTTTCAAGTTAGAACTTTTCCTTAGAAACAGTGATTTCATCCAAAAAAAAAAAAAATCTTTAGGATTCAGAGACAAGAAGAGCTCCACAGCCTTAAAAATTAGAAAAATCCTGCCTTAAAGAATTTGGCAGTAGGACAAATACAAAAACCTTGTTATCACTAGCAGCAAAAAGTATTTAAGTATTTATTAAAGTAGCTACAACACCGTGGTGTGTAGGGGCTGCCACCGTGGGAAGCCATGTAAAGTCAAGGAGCAGATTCAGTTTCCATCTCCTGGAAGCTAAAATCAGACACTTAGCTTCGAAACAAGTATGTAAACAGGTTTCAGTTCACCCCACATTTTGAAGGGGCAGCTTTATCATGCTGACTCATAAGGAATACTTGCAACCACAATGAGTGGGTATGTCACGTGTTAGGCGGAGGCCTGACTTTAGAGTAACTTCATGGGAACCAGTCCTTCCATTCTAGACCGGTACCTAGTTCTGATGGCCATGCCTGCCCTGCCCTGTTATTCTGTACAGTTGCTGGGTGTCTGGTTTCTGAAGGCCTTTACCCTCCCCACTCTACAAACCCTGATGCAGCCTCCTTCCACCTGCTTCCTTCCCTCTGCATCACTAGCACCTTGCCACCCCCATGCTTCGTTTTCCCTTCCTGCTTCTTTTGCATTTCTAGATGCCCAGACTCAGTGAGAGTTGGCAGCATTAAAAGTGCCACCTGTTTAGTTTAGTAAAGGGAGCCCTTCCTGCCAGATGAAGGAGAGACACAGGAACATTTCCTGCACTGTGAGCAGCCCGGTTTGCCTACACTCCCATCAGCTGGTTTGCCCCCAAACACTAGTCCTCAACCACATATCCTGTGTGCCACCTTGCATTTCTCTGAACAGAGGGACATGTACCGCCAGTCCTACAAGATTGTGTTCTATTTCTTTGTAGTGTTGGAACCTACCCCCATCACATGTAGAAACAGGCATTCTACATCCTGTCCTGCTAAAGCTAAGCCACAGATACTTGGCAAGGCCTTAAAACTAGCAGAGACACACCTCAGCCCCATGGGTTCTGCGAGCTGGAGCGCAGACACAAACGCACACTCAGGAGATGACTCGCAGTGAAGGCTCCCATGGTGCCTTCCTCAGAATGCTGTCTACCCTTCTGCACACACACACACACACACACACACACACACACAGACACACAAACATTACTCACATGCACATGCACACACGCTCAGACAGGCACATGCCCTCTAGTTCTTCATCACGTTCTCCTCCCAGCCTCTCATGCTATCTGGGAAGACATTTTACTGGCACTCGAACAGGCTGGGAAACTGGTTCCGTGTTGAACATTCTTGTCCCAGGGTGCAGGGGCCAAATCTGTTCCCTGCCATGCTTGGTGACACTTGACACAGTGGCCTTTCTTACTACTGAAGGGTGATTATCTGACACTGTTACTGAATGTATATTTTTGTATCTGAAAGCTCTCCTACCTGGTCTCTGGGAGGTAACTCCTCTAGTTGAGAGAAGCAGAGAAAGAAGAGAGGTAGGGAGAGCACCTAAAAAGGAACAGGGCAAAGCTGGAGGCATTCCTCAGATGAAGAGAGAAACAAGCAATGCAGAATGTGACACAGGAAGGAGGCAGCCTTTTAACTAGCAATGGACAGGAGTTCCAATGTACTTAGTGGTTAAGACACGGGTGCTGGAGTCAGAAGGATGTGGGTTAGAATCCTAGCCTTACCTTTGGTGATTTATATAACTTCTCTGATCATTTGGTTTCCTTATCTATAAAATGAGGGGAGAGGTCTGTGGAGAGAATAATTCTAATTACTTTACAGCATTGTTGTAAGGATTACGATAATGCATGAATAGCATTTTCACAGTTGTCACATGTAGGAAGTGGTCAATACACACTGAAGGTGAGGATGAGGATGATGATGATAATGAAGATGATTCAGTCAAAAGTCCACGAGACCACCTTCAGATTTAATGATTTGCTAGACGGACTCACAGAACTGAGAAAAGCTGGTATATTCATGGTTATGGTTTATTACAGTGAAAAGATACAGGTTAACATCAGCAAAGGAAAAAGGAACATAGGGCAGGGTCCAGGACAGACCAGGCACCAGCTTCCATTTGTCCTCTCCCAGTGGAGTCACATAGACAACACCTAATTCTCCCAGCAATGATGTATGAGAAGATATACAAGGTATTGCCAACCAGAGAAGCTTACCTGAGCCTTGGTATCCAGAGTTTTTATTAGAGATCAGCCAAGGAAGCATAAGTTGTCTGCATCTGACCTTAGTTACTCAGTGTCCAGACCTTCCAGAGGTTAAATGATACCACATGTCTCAAGGCCCCAGGTAAACAAAGACATCTTATCAGGTGGGATTTCAAGGGCTTTGGTGTTACCTCTCAGGAGCTGGTCTGGGGCTAAAACTTTTTTTGGAATGTGCAGAGTTTGGACAACCCAGGCCTGCTGACTTACTCCTTTACTGCACAGTGATGATGATAAAGATGGCAAGTACGCATTGTCACTAGACCTTAAGACCAATGAGATTGGGCCAGATATAGCTCAGAAGCTGAGAGTTAATGAAAAGCAGAATTGGTCTTGACAGTCATAGTGACTATTGCCTTAATTGTTGAGAACCAACAGGGAGAGATAGAATGGAGAAGGAAGGGGATGATGGCACCAAGCAAAGAAGATAAAGGGAAGATTACCCAAAGCCAATGAAGAGCAGCTTAAGTCCCAGAGGTGGGGCCTTTGAGACCAAAACAAGAGTTAGGTCCTCACTCCAAAAGCTAAGGAGTTGGTGAGACTCAAGAAGGCCAGGAATGACAATTGATCTGTGTTCCAAAGCAGAGGGGCACCTGGGGGCCTAGGTCTGGTGAAAAGAATTAGAAGCAGGTTTTGGAAAAGACTAAAAATTCCATTCCATTTAGCAGAGGAGCTGACCTAAAACCACCTTAGACTAGACTGAAGCGCTTTGTCCGAGTCTAGCCCAGCCCAGGTGCAACAGGATGATTCTAAATGAGATAGCCAAGCAACTCCCCAAGCGCCAGTTAAGTAGAGAATACGGAAAGGCCCTTTGAGAAAGGCAAACCTAGCCCCCATTTACATTTCAATACAGACTAAGAGCAAACAGAACAGAATTTGTAAAGATAACAGGTTAGAATTTGAGGGTTTTTTTTGTTTGTTTTTGTTGCCTCCTTTTTGTATTTCTGTGAAAGAAATATTAGGAGAAATGCTTTTTGGGATCTTCATAACTTTCCATTACTTATGGGAAGTTTGTTCTTGTTTTTAACACTTTTGTAACTAAAAGTCAACTCTCCAAACAAAAACAGGACAACAGCAGAGGGGAGGAATATCTGCTTCCTGCCAGACCTTAGGGGGGAGTTCCCAGCAGAAGACACGGGAATTGAGGAGCACAAGGAAGAAGGATAAACAAGTCAAAATCTTGGGGCCGGTAGTCCAGGATAGTAGAATAAGCCTGGGGGTTAATTAGCAAGGGCGCTGTTCCACACAAATCATTTGGCTAAAGGTGTAGATGGGGCTGTTCTCAGATCAGTGCAGAGGAGACCAAGTCTGTAGGCTCCAACGCAAACAACTCTCAGCCTAACCACTCTCCCCTTCCCACTATCCTCCCCCAAACATCTTCCTAAGATATATCATTCTCAGGGGCGCCTGGGTGGCTCCGTCGTTAAGCGTCTGCCTTCGGCTCGGGTCATGATCTCAGGGTCCTGGGATCGAGCCCCGCTTCGGGCTCCCTGCTCCGCGGGAAGCCTGCTTCTCCCTCTGCCACTCCCCCCGCTTGTGTTCCCTCCCTCGCTGTGTCTCTCTCTCTGTCAAATAAATAAAATCTTAAAAAAAAGAAAGAAAAATTTTCAAAACCTACAGATTCGAGATAGTTTTTCTGATGAGATATTGCAATGGCATTATGACATTAAGCATTTTATTTGCTTTCTTTCTTAGATCCCAAGAGATGACCCAAAGACATTTAAACCTTGGTCTATCCCTATAGCGTAACATTGCTGTCATTTCCTAAAAGGTAAGATTATTAAGCTGAAGGATAATTACTCAGAAAGAAAAAACATCAGCCAGGCCAGTAGCTTTCAAACTGTTCTAAGGAAGTTTAGGATTGCACAAATGTGTAAATCTAGTTTCTTTTTTTTTAAAGATTCTTTATTCATTTGAGTCAGACAGAGAGAGAGAGAGGGAGAGGAGGAGCAAGGGGAGGGGCACAGGGAGAGGGAGAAGCAGGCTCCCTGATGAGCAGGGCATCCTGCCGCCCAGGACCCTGGGATCACGACCTGAGCCAAAGGCAGACCTTTAAAACTGAGCCACCCACGAGCCCCTCTAGTTTCATTTTTAAATCTTATCCAACATTTAATTTTTTAACACTAAACATGCATGGCTTTGGATGCTGACAAGGAAAGTCAAGGTATTTTATCCAAGAAAAACATAGCAATTTTTCTTTTCATTTTCTTCTCTTTTCTTTTTTAAAGATTTTATTTTTAGGTAATCTCTATACCCAACATGGGGCTCGAACTCACAACTCTGAGATCAAGAGTCACATGCTCCATCGACTAAGCCAACCAGGCGTCCCAGTTTTTCCTTTTCCTCTTAAAATAAATGAGAAAGCTGGGACGCCTGGGTGGCTCAGTCGGTGAAGCGTCTGCCTTCAGCTCAGGTCATGATCCCAGGGTCCTGGGATGGAGCCCCACATGGGGCTCCCTGCTCGGTGGGGAGCCTGCTTCTCCCCTGCCTGCCCCTCCCCTTGCTTGTGTTCTCTGTCTTTCTCTCTGACAAATAAATAAGTAAAATCTTTAAAATAAATAAATAAAATAAAATGAGAAAGCTCTGGATTAAGATATTTTAAAGATCCTATTCCCTGATTCTTTTGAGAATCACTTATATCTTGAGTGCAAAACACCAAACTAAAATCTATTGCTTCCCACATTTATAATTAATTACTGCTATTTAAAAGAGGTATCTAGTTGTATTTGTTGAGTTCAACCCCTACAATTTTATAGTGCAGCTTAACACAAAACACAGGGCACTGAAGGCTTTGGAGCATGACCACCAAAACTGCCTGGGAAATGTATGCTGACAAAAAGAAACATTGGAAAATTGTTGGAAAATTGCATTGTTGGAAAATTAAACTGTTTTTGTGCACACTTACTGGGCAACAATTTTTAATGTTGAAAATGAAAGCAGAGTTGAGAACTACATCATAGATTCAGAGAAAATTTTTTTTTTCTTCAAACTCTAATTTTCCAATTAAATGTCTAAAACAACCTATGTGTATTAACAGATATGTTTAATTCCATTGTGCTTTGTCACATAAGAACTTGCATTGATAGTTTTGCTAAATCAGACTAAATAATTAATGAGATTTTTGTTTCTCCTTTCACAGTAACAACAAAAATCAAAATAGTCAACATTTAAAATTATATTTTAAATTATTATAAAATAGTAATTAAAAAACATACACCCACGTATAGAGGGCAGAATAGTTAGCTCTTTAATTATTCTCTCTCGCTACCTCTCTCTTTCCGAGTATTAAAATTAAATGTGGATATGCTGGCAAATTCACTCTAATCCCTGTATAAAACAAGGTTTGTAAAGTGCACAGCATTGTGCCTGACACTAGTACTCAATCAAGGAAAGCCACACACACACACACACTCAGATACACTAAGTGCCAAACTTTAACAAATTGGAGACAACCAGTGAATGAACTGGGTTGTCAAGTTTTTGTACAAACTTCAAAATAAAGAACATCCTCAGAGTGCAAGAGAAATTTAAAAACCAAAAATCAAAGCCAAACCAAAAAAATCTCTTTTGCTACTTTACCACTTACAGCTATTTATGTGTCAGAATTATCTCCATGCTGTGCAGTTAAAAAAAAAAATGCAGATATAAATTACATTCTGAGTCTTTAACTGTCATCCTTTACCCGCAATTTCAGATTTTTGCTTTCTTCAAAGTAGCATAATTGTTCTCACATATTTGCTTTATAAGCAAGTGTTAAACACTGACCTTATTAAATTTGTACCCCACTAAAATCGTGTGTGTGTGTGTGTTCCCATAACATTTTAAACCTCTGCTAAAAATGTGTGAAAATCTCTGAGCTCATCCAGCTTCTCATTTATTTTATAAATGAAGACATGGAGGCCAAGGAAGAATAAGAACTACCTAAATGTGCTTATTCAGATCCATAAAGCTTTACCAATCCAATTTTTCAACTATTTATTGTTTTCCTTACAAGCAAAAGTTGGGGGATTTGCACACTTTTATAATTATTCTCTTTTCTTTTTTTTCCAGGTGTTTCAGTTTTTCACAAGTAAAAAGGTGATTTGTTAATCCAAACTGGTATTCTTATACTGTGGTGGAAAAAAGACACAAATTTTAGAAACACTATTCAAGTCTGATTAGGTTAAAGATTAATCACTATTTATAAATTATTTACTTAGACTTTCTAGGCTAGAGGCCACCAGACAAATTTTGCAATATACACAATAGCCAAGTTTAAGTTTGATTTGTTTCTGAAGATATCATGTAAATATTGCTCTAAAAGCAAATTGTTTCTTTCTGTGTCCATCCAATCTAACTGGACTAGTAATGCAAGTTACAAACCTATAATGAAAGACACTTCTCAGTAAATAAATATGTGATTAGGTTTTGTTTTGTTCCTACTGTGAATTAGCTGTGGGTCTGTGCATGAGCATTTGACAGCAAAGGAGTGGTATTTTAGTCATGTAGGTCAGCTATTCAACTGGTTAACATTCTTTTGGAATTTGGAGATAAAAAGGCAATGTAAAAACATATTCAATGTATTATCATAAAACCCTTTAATTTTTTGTGTATAGAAAATATCTGATCTAGTATCAGTTTCAGAAATACTTCCCTGCTCAGTTTCCCATATATTGAAGGGAGTAACACAGAGCAAAAGAGTTCTAAATTGTAATCATCCCAACGTTGTAGTTTAAAACATGTGGGATCCACCAAATTCCATTGATCTGAGTTTTTGAGGCCATCAGAGGAGAATATGAATTAGGCCTTATTTGACCAGAAAGTCAGGAGGTAAACTGACACTCTGTCAGCCAGAGTTTGCATGATGAAGTCACCAAGCCACCATCTGCAAGGACTCCAGAAGTGAATGAGCGATGGGGGGCTGATCTGAGAGCACTGGGTGACGTGGAGGCAGAGATCAGGCTTGCGGTAGGGGAGGCTATAGGTCGCTGGAGGCAGTGAGCACATCTGTTGAAGGGACTGGGATACGGTTGTGCACAGGCCTGTCCACTGACTTTGGAGGCTTCACTAGGGCCACAGAAGTTTAAGGGAAGAAGTGGGACTGAAGCACAAAGAGAAAGGAGACTAGAACAGAGAAGTCATAGGCAGGACAAAAAATTACACAAGGTTTTTGCACACATAAGCAGAAGAGCTTGGGAATTTAGTGGGAGTAGCCAGGGCAAAATAAGCTGAAAGTAAAAAAAAAAAAAAAAAAAGTTTTGGCTCTCAGAAATAAAATCCTTAACTGTGTAATCTAATGTGAATATAAGAAATTTGTTTTGGGGCACCTGGGTGGCTCAGTCAGTTAAGTCATAATGGGGGGGTCCTGAGATCGAGCCCCACACTGGGCTCCCTGCTCAGAGGGGAGTCTGCTCCTCCCTCTCCCTCTGTCCCTCTCCCCCTGCTTGTGCTCTCTCTTTTTCTCTCTCTGTTAAATAAATAAAATATTTGAAATTTTTGTTTTATCATCTGTATCATTTTAAACAGTGGTAAATATAATTCATATTTTGTAAAAATTTGGTCTTGTTGGGGCTAAGGATGGTTACTAGGCGTTTTGTATTTGTCACAGTTGAGAACTATAAAGCAGCAAAAATAGAGGGGTCTATATAAAAATTACTTGTGTGAGTTGATGCACTAAAATCTGAATGGCATGGATATCAATCAAATACTTTTTCAAAAAGGCACAGTTGAAACCACATACTTGAAACCAGTTCTTTGGGCTCTAAGCATCGTTAAAGGATAGTTACTAAATTTTTTAAATTAGCAATACATTCACACAGTTCAAAAATATAAAAAGGTATATAGTGCAAGGACTTACTCTCATACCATCCCCATCCAGCCAATTCTCACACAAGCACAAAATATAACCACTTTAAAGAAAAAAGATTTATTTATTTATTTGAGAGAGAATCCCAAGCAGACTGCATGCTAAGTGCAGAGCCCTGCCAGTGTGGGGCTCTAACCCACAACCCTGAGATAATGACCTGAGCCAAAATCAAGAGTCGGACACAACCAACTGAGCCACCCAGGCGCCCCAACCATTTTTATTACTACTTTTTTTTCCCCCTTCAGGAATAGCTGGTCCCGAAGACCCCTCCACTCTTGTCAAGATTAAAGTTACTCTTGGTCCCACACATGGATGGGACACAGTGACCAAATGTTGGGATGGTAGTGGAAGTCTAAGGTGTCAGGACGAGCAGCTGGTTCCTGCCTATGTTACACCTGCTGGACCCACTGAATGAGGTGCTGATCCCCCCTCCCCATCGAGACAATTCTATCCCTTTCCCCATGTCTGCAGCGCCCTGGTGTCTGTAACAGTGAGGAATATAACCCTTAACGCTTATCATGGCTCTGTGGATCCTCCTGTTTTCCCCATGGGTCTTGGGCACATAGAAGGCATTTGTACTCTTGCTTTCTGAACCTGGGCTCTCTGAGTGGGTTTCCTCTCCTGAAAGGAAAAACAGCCTGCTCCAGCTCCACCCCCGGAATAGTAAAAATTAACATTTGATCTCTCTCATATAACTGTATAGACAAATAGCACAAAGAAATCACTCCTGATTCATAAGATGCTGAAAAGAAGTTTAAAAATTAGGCAGAAATAGTTGGAGACAGAAAATAAAGGCATTTTCTCAGTCTCCTTACACAACCTTGAATGAGTTGATACTAAGATATCACTGAGTACAAAACAAGAATGTTCTTGCCTTGGCATAGCCACCATAGCAGGACAGACATTCCCACACTCCCTTTACTTCATTTTAGATGATGTCACCAGCTGTCTAACTGGTCTTGTTCCAAACCATTCTGTGCATAGCTGCCCGGATAATCTTTCTCAACATCTATAACCACCTATCCATCCTCACTGGGTAAAAGAGTAACATTCAACAGGACGGTTTCTTCTTCCAAAAAGGACTGTACTGTAATTTGTGTGGTAGTCACCAGTTGTTTCTATCTGCTTGGGGGTCTTTTCCTTTGGGAAGTTTCCCATCCTCCAGGCCATGTGTTCCAGGAGGGCTGCTGGGCAAGGCACAGGATAAGCTGGTCTAAGTCTCTCCCAAGAGTGAGACTCTTGAGTAAGGTCCATGAGGTTAAAAGGCCACTGGTACAGACTGCCTGGATGGCCCAGCTGTGGAGAGCAGGTCCACAAGCTCTGCTGGGAGACCCTCAGAGGTGCTCCTGTCCCTGTGCATCTCAAGGCCTGCTTCTCCAGTTCTGCCCTCAATTCTGTCTGCTAGGCAATATCTTCCCCATTTTATTAGTTTCCTAGAGCTGCCATCACAAATTCCCACAAACTGGATAGCTTAAATATTTATCCTCTCACAGTTCTGGAGGCTAGAAGTCCAAAATCAAGGTGTTAGCTGGGCCATGGATTCTAGGGAAGAACCCTTCCTTGCCTTGTCTGGTGGCTTAAATATATCATATCGTTTATACTAAATTTCTAAAGTATTTTAAAGTAAATTAGTACACAGAAAACAACACCGATTAAGACCAGACTCCTTAATATATCTGCCTAGGTTGTTCTCAGAGTAACCCTCATTTCATCTCCGCTGCTGCTCCCCCAACACACACAGACATATATACAAACTACACTCCACACTAGACACACCGAGCTGCTCCCTGCTCCTAGAAGGTGGCAGCCATTGCCACTTCTCAGGCCTTTCCACATGCTGCTTCTTGCCCCTACTTCTCCATCTGACTGACCTCTTCTCTTCAAGTCCCACTTTAGCTATCTCCTCTTCAGAATCGTCTGGGAGCCCCTTCCTTCCCAGCCCTGCAGATCTGGCCACTCTCTCATCCACATTCTAGTGGCATCCAGTGCAGGCCTCTCCATCTGTACGTTCACAGTGTGACTGCGCTTGTCACTATCATCTGTGTCCCTCGCTGGACAGTGCACGTCATAAGACCCACAAGTTATTGTTTTCTGAACTCTATTACAGCACACCAGGCACATAGTAGGTACTTAGCACATATGTGCTGAATAAAACAAAAGTGAAGGTCCTAGAACATTTCATTTCTTACCTTTTCTGCCAAGGAAAAGCAGAGACCTTCCTCACTGTTCTTAGCAAATGCTTTCCTCAAAGACAAATCTGTTGCTTACATATTGTTCTTTCTAGACAAGTGATTCTCAAAATGTCATAAGACACCAAAGTTCTTCATGTTATTCCATAACACTTTTTACCTGGGTCCTAAAAGTTCATGGAATTTGTGCATTTTAAAACTTGACTAATATTCAAAGTAGTGGGTATAGAGAATTGCTGCAGATTTTCACATTAGCACTTCCTATGACAATTTGCCTAATGCTAAGAACCTCTGTTGTGGACAAGCCTTACTGTATATAGCCCTCTGAGGCCACAACCACCTGCACTAGCTAGGTTCTGAAAAATGAAGCTATGTTTTAAAAGAAAACGATTTTTGGTCTTTCTAGAACCAGAAAAGGAAATCCTCCAAGACAGTTTTAATACTGCATTTTAAGAGTAGAATCAGAAATGCACGATGAGTAAAAGGCTACTTTTCTCATCAGATAAATTGGCATTAGATTTCCATTATAGACCGTTCATGACCTTCTTCTGGAAGAATCATCATCATCAATGCTATTATATTTAGCTTCCCTTGAAAGTAAAACAGCCCTGCTCCCTTACCGAGTTTCTGTGAAGAACTTTAAAATGCATGTGAAAATATTTTGTAAATGATAACATCCTGTCTGTATGTAAGGTCCACAATGACCACTCTATGACTACTAATATCAGGAGCAGTAGTGGTGCTTACTACCAGTTCTGTGGTTCCTGCTGCCGTTTCTACTACCACTAACAACAACAATAAAGCACCAACTAATTTCTATTCAGTTGCTTTCTCATTTTAGGCTAATAACTTGATATCATCACACATAGGCCCCTAAAAAGTGAAATTTGGGCTTATAAAAAGAGAGCAAAGAAAGATGGACATCTAAATATGCCAGGCAACAGTTCAACATACATTCAAGATCATTTTCTAACACAGAGACCTTTAGATCTAGGTTATCAAGAAGATTTCTTGTTCCTTAAATGAATTTTAATATATGAAGAAATAAGAATTAATAAGCAATAAACAGTCCTTCCTAAATAATCCTATAACTGTTATACCATATGCCATCACAGTTAACTTTGTTTGTTTTCCTTTAAATAAATGCCTTGAATGTTAAATAACTTAGAATGTAGCTATTATGGTTGCCGAAAATATTACTTACTTGTCAAGTTACTTCAAACTATTTTCTGAATAAACACTTTACAGGAGCAAAGAGTTTTCACCTTAACCTACCATCATTCCTATGTGGAGAGAGAGAGTGAATGCCAGATTTCTTGAATCCCTAAGCCTCAAAAATCTAAATAATAGAGTCTGTTTCAAGAGGAGAAATCAGTGTCTTAAAAGAATAACTTATTTACCAAATTTTATTAAAATGTTCAGGTAATTAGCAATGCCTATTTTTTATTTTTCACAATCTTGATTTTAACAAGTATTACTAATAGTAAATATTATTTTTTTAAATTTTTTAAAGATTTTATTTATTTATTTGAGAGAAAGCATGAGATAGAGAGAGAGCATGAGAGGGGGGAGGGTCCGAGGGAGAAGCAGACTCCCCGCTGAGCACGCGGGACTCGATCCCAGGACTCCAGGATCATGACCTGAGCCGAAGGCAGTCGCTTAACCAACTGAGCCACCCAGGCGCCCACTAATAGTAAATATTATTAATAGTCAAATAACTGGGCGCCTGGGTGGCTCAGTTGGTTTAGCGACTGCCTTCGGCTCAGGTCATGATCCTGGAGTCCCGGGATTCAGCGGGGAGTCTGCTTCTCCCTCTGACCCTCTTCCCTCTCGTGCTCTCTGTTTCTCACTCTCTCTCTCTCAAATAAATAAATAAAATCTTTAAAAAAAAGTCAAATAACTACTAAAACTCTTCTATACAGCAAGTGAAATCGATGGTATATATGAGGGGTGCATGGTTAGCTCAGTCAGTAGAACAAGCAACTTGATCTTGGGGTCATGAGTTCAAGTTCCACCTTGGGTTTGGAGATTACTTAAATAAAAAAAAAATTTTTTTAATGGTATATATGAGGGACACCTGGGTGGCTCAGTCGGTTAAGGGTCTGCCTTCAGCTCAGGTCATGATCCCAGGGTCCTGGGATAGAGTCCCACTCCGGCTCCCTGCTCAGCAGGGAGTCTGTTTCTCCCTCTGCCTGCCGCTCCCCCTGCTTGTGCTGTTTCTCTCTCTCTCTCTGACAGATAAATAAAAATCTTTAAAAAAAAATAAATGATATATATGAGATATGTAGCAACTATTTAACACATTTTCATCTAAAATGAAATTATTT